AACGTTAATAAAGACTTTATAACACAATATAAAAAAGTTAGATAAAGATAATTATCAAATTCATGAGATTCATTTTTAAATTTAGAATTAATTATATGTTAACAAATATAATTATTTTTCAAGGTTGATAAAGACTTTATCACATAATATAAAAAAATAAGGATAATTATCAGATAAATGAAATTCGATTTTAGTTTATAATTAATTATATATTAACTAATATAATTATTTTTCAAGTATATTAACTAATATAATTATTTTTCAAGGTTAATAAAAACTTTATAACCCAATATAAAATAGTTTTAGATAAAGATAAATCTAAAATCATTGAAATTCGTTTTTTATTTATGTTTAACTAAATTAATTTTTTTTTAATTATTCATTAAGGGTATAAACGATATTAACCGTTCTAACTTTCAACGTGAGAGCTTTCTTGCAAAAAATCATTCACAAATAATAGTATAGATTACCTAAATCACAGAAAGTTACAAATTAATCAGCAAACTCACTTAAATTTTATAATTAAAAATATATTTTTAAGATAACAATCTAATACAAAAAATTAACATATTTTCAAAAAATATAATATTATTAACATAAATTCTCTTTATTTTATTTTATAATAAATTATTAAAATATGAAAATAAGCAAAATAACCTAAAATCATGGAGAAGTTGACAACTAAGCAAATTTTTACTTCTAAAATAATATTGAATAATATATTTTTAAGATAACAATCTAATACAAAATAATTAACATATTTTCTAAAAATATAATATTATTAACATAAATTCGTTTTTATTATATACTAAATTATTAAAACATGAAAATAAGTAAAATAACCTAAAATCATGGAGAAATTGACAACTAAGCAAATTTATATATTTTTAAGATAAAAATCTAATACAAAAAAATTAACATATTTTCAAAAAATATAATATTATTAACATAAATTCTTTTTATTTTATTTTATAATAAATTATTAAAATATGAAAATAAGCAAAATAACCTAAAATCATGGAGAAGTTGACAACTAAGCAAATTTTTACTTCTAAAATAATAATTGAATAATATATTTTTAAGATAACAATCTAATACAAAATAGTTAACATATTTTCTAAAAATATAATATTATTAACATAAATTCGTTTTTATTATATACTAAATTATTAAAACATGAAAATAAGTAAAATAACCTAAAATCATGGAGAAATTGACAACTAAGCAAATTTACTTCTCAAATAATGTTATAGATACTAATAAATTATTATTATCATTTATTTATTTTAACTTTCCTTTTCTTATTAGATACCCTTAAATATTAATAAGATTGAACTTGGAAATAAATAAGTGGGGCTTGACTTCACGACATGAATCCATAAGGCCAAAAACAGATCTTTCTTGTTCTCTCTTTCTCTCTCAAACTCTTATTATTCCCTTCGCAAAAGATGGAACTAGCGTTGTGCCTAGGTGACAATACTAACAAGCTCTCTTTTCTCGAGAGGCCCTCGAAAAATAATAATAATAATCCATCTGCCTCATCGACGTCAACTTCCGACAAGGATCTTGGGTTCAACATGGGTTTAGATGTACTCGGTTTTGGTGGTCAAAGATTGTTGTCATCCTCTTCATCTCCGTCGTTAGATGATGATAAGAAGAATAAGAGGAAGCTAGATGATTCTGATGGATTTAGGGTTTCGTCTTCTGTAGATCCGTCACTACAGCTTCAACTTCACTTCCCTTGGCTCCCTGAGAACAGTAAGGGTTTCAGATTATAAACAAAAAAATTGGCTTACATGTTTTTCCTTTTGTTATATTTATAAGAATATGATTAATTATAGTACTAAAGTGTCGATGGGATGTTGAAATCATTTTCCAACTATGCTTTGACTGATTTGTGACAAGAAAGAAAACCTAGGTTCTGTAGAAAACAAAATCAGTTGTAAATGTTTAAAATTACAAAATGTTTCTGTTACAAAATGTTTTTGTTACAAAATACAATTTCCTTGTAATAAAGAGTTTCAAAATTTTTTAGGTCGGCAAGGAGGAAGGATGCTCTCAGGAGCAGCTACTGTGCCTGAGGAGGAAGAGGAGGCAGGACTTAGTATGTCAGTGTCCCCGCCGGATAGTGTAACGTCGTCGTTTCGGTTAGACTTTGGGATTAAGAGTTATGGTTATGAGAGAAGAAATAATAAAAGAGATATCGAAAACGATGAGGTTGAGAGATCTACTTCAAGAGCTAGCAACGAAGACAATGATGATGACAACGGAGCAACCAGGAAGAAACTTAGGCTCTCTAAAGATCAATCTGCTTTTCTTGAAGATAGTTTCAAAGAACACAGTACCCTTAATCCTGTTCGTGTTCCATAATTCTTTACATTCTTGAATTTCTTGAAATTTTTGTGTGATTTAAATCAAATTTTAATCTTCTTACTATTTATTTGATGTAAAATAAACATTGCAGAAGCAAAAGATAGCGTTGGCAAAGCAGTTGAATCTTCGTCCTCGTCAGGTTGAAGTATGGTTTCAAAACAGACGAGCCAGGTTAGCTTCTTATGTCATTATAGCTTCATTTTGTTTTTATGAAAGAGCTTTTTTGTGATGATTAATTTCTGAAAAAGGAATGAGGACGACATGCATCACGAGTAATAATAACACATTGTCGCATGTCTATTCTTGTCAGTTTTCGTGCAAAAGTAGCATATCACTTCTGCTCATCATTTCCACAGATAATTGCTTATACTGACTTATTTATTAAAAAAAAAAAAAAACAAATCATAACTCTTCCTCACAATTTAACCAAATATCATCACTACTTTATTCATATAAATATACAAAAATAGTCTAGCATTACATCTAGATTAATATAATCGTTTGTGTGACAAAAAAAAAAAAGTCTAGCATTACATCAAATTTAATTTGTCACTTGATGAACTTTTGATCTTTTACAAAACTTATGTATCTTGATCGTGTTCTTAAAAATTGCTATCTGTTCAAAACTCCCTTAGAGTTGTTCCTTTGCGTGACTTTTTAGTGCTTTGTATATACAATATACCAAAAAGCAACACGAGTTTATATATGACTTTGTCTGGATGATTATTTATCGAGGGTTATATGTATGTAATTGACAGGACGAAGCTGAAGCAAACGGAAGTGGACTGTGAATACCTAAAGAGATGTTGTGAGTCCCTAACCGAAGAAAACCGGAGGCTTCAGAAAGAGGTTAAAGAATTGAGAGCCTTGAAGACTTCTTCTCCTTTCTGCATGCAACTTCCGGCCACCACTCTCACTATGTGCCCTTCTTGCGAACGCGTTGCCACCTCAGTTTCACAGCCCTCCACGTCAGCTGCACACAACATTGAGTTGTCCAAGTCATCATTTCACAGTCCTTTGATTCCGGTTAAGCCTGGACCGGGAAAACAAGTTTCATGAAACCACGTGCGGAATAAATGGTTACAATTTGAGCAAATTGTTGAGTGGTTTAAATTGGGTCTTCAACTGTGTATATATTAAGATTTATTTCCCATAGTAGTTGAGACCGTCTCCTATTTTAAAAGACGTCTAGAAGATCGATTATCCGGTTAGTGTTTGGTTTTCTTTTGGATTTTTTTTGGCATTGTTTTGTATGGTTCGGACCCGTAATATCAGATGGAGGAAAAGGGTTTGACATGTTTATTGAGTGAAAGACAACGAAAGATATATGGTTTGATCTATTCATATTTTGTAAAGTTGTATATTCTATTTAAGCAAAATGGTGTCTCGTTTAAACTCACCAAGTGTGTCCTCCAAGATCAAGACATAGTCAGGCCTCAAATGTGCAGGACAGGATCTGGGCACCAGTGAAACATTAGCTTTGGTCTTTAATTTTTTTTTAAAAAAAATTTACTAAAGCTTTTAAGAAATGTTTCAAGATTCCAAAATGTGACATCCGGTCATGCAAAGTTCTAAGTTGCTTGTCAGTGGTATTTCAAAGCTATTTTTACCCTCGGTTTGGAGAACTGATGAGTGGACGGGTTAGGGATTCGGAAGTTGGCTTGGGCCTTGTCACCTGAAATGCTCAATGATACTTATGGAGCTTTCGGTCTAGCCAAGAAAGAATGCCCAAAGTTTTTTTTTTGGGTGCTCTCTTTGCAGCCTTCTCTCGCAAATCGCATGTCAGTATTGATTGTGTTTAGTTTAGATTAACCTTCTGAAATTATTGAGAAGCTCCAAGAATCTGTGGAGATGATCGTATGAGTCTTACAAATATATAGAGATCTGTCGGTCGCAACAAAATGCCACTCTCTACTTTTTCATTAAATAAAGCAATGTTGTACGACGGTTGAATCTCGTACTGCGTACTTCAGATATTTCCAGCTTTCTTTTGTTCAAACATTAATAAATCATAACACAAACACGGAGTATCTGCTTTTTCCCAATCTCCAACCAAATACTCACACGTCTTAACTCTAGACATCAATACATAACTAAGCATATGTAAGAAGAAGGCGAAGAAAAACTGCACTAGGTTAGATCTAATCGCACTGAAATCATAAAAGCAGTTGACTTAATGGACCTTTTCTAAAGACCTTCCGTAGTAAGAAAGAAAAAGTCTAAACATTCCATGTGAACGTCGTGACCAAACCCGTTATCTTCCAACTCCTTTATTTTATTTTCCGAAACTAGACAAATCCTATAAAGTAGTAAGTATAATCTAACTGTCGGTGGTCGACAATCTGTCACATCCATAGCTCCAAATACAAATTCTTTATTTCAACAATAAATAAGAACAACGATAAAGAAGACGCAAAGCCATGCTCTATATATGATAATCAAACAATTTTAACAGCGATTGAATATGTAACTTCTCTTTGTAGGTATAAACATTTACAACAAATAGTGCCAAATATATCAGAGAGTAAATCTTTTTTTTTTACTCTACACATTCTATACTCAACTAAAAACAATGAAACCAAAGTATTAAGATGAAACAAGTGTTCTGAGATGGAAAAAACCTTTTTTTAAGGATTCCGTCGTGTTTGGCCAAGCTGGTTGAGTTTAACGAGCAGCTCAGCGTATAATATCTCATTCCAAGAATCAGGAACTCCAGGGAGACACCAGTGGCTACAGTCTTGATACAACAACGGCGTTTTCTTCTCTTTATCCGATAAGCTATGCTTTCTATACACTGACGGGTGACCATCTTTCCTGTAGTCTGTTAATCTGGTGATGTTTAGATACGTGACGGGCGTTCTCATACCCTTTAACACTCTCTCTAACACCTTCATTTTAGCCGGGTAAGGAGTTAGATACGTCTCGTTCTTGATTGGTTCTGTTTCGCTATCGCATGCTCCTCCTGAGTTCCATTGCCCACCGCTGAAGTGTGAGGCGGAGTAGCCACGGAAGAAAACAAGAGACTTGTTAGGGTTCACGTTCTTTTCAACCCATCGACCCCATGTGGTTAATGCTTTACGGAAAGCTTCGAGTACAGCTAGTTCGTGGTATACATTGCTTCCTTCTTGATAATAATCCTCCCTTTTAAAAACAATAATATCAGTTTTTCATTACACAACACAAAGACAAATCAGTTTTTATTTTTACTTACCCTTTGGATGTTTTCTCATGAGTCCACCAATGTCCGGTGTTAAAGACTATAATATCAGCTCCTTTGTATTGCTCTGAAGACTTGCCAACCAAATCAAGCCGAAGAGTCTCCTTCTTTGTTCCCTTCTTGTCAATTATCTCAGTTTCTTGGACCAAGAAGGGTGAAACAAAGAACTCCACTGTGCAATTGTAATCCTATCAAATAAAAGAAAAACATAAACAAGTTTCAAAATACAAAACCCAAGAATCAGTGTAAGAGAAAGCGAGAAGAGTTTACTTGGAAGACAAAGGAGTACTCAGCCTCCCCACGGAAATGATGTCTTCCTCTAGCTTCATAGACTTTACTCTCATCTTTCACTGATCCTTTAAGTATACAAACCAAAGACTCCCACATGTTTCTATTCAAAGAATCCCCAACAAACACTAGCCTTCTTCCTCTAAGCATCTCAAGCAATATACCTCCATTTAACCTTCAATTTTCATTACATCGTATATTATTAATCTATTATTAGAAATGAAAGTGATGGTTTTAAGATTCTAAGACAAGTTCAACCAATCGTACCTTGGTAAACTACACTTCTTAGGTTTCCACTTGAGTTTCTGAAAATCTTTGTCGGGTCTTCCATTTGAAATACAGTTGAACTGCTCATCGATCACCTTACAAGAACCTGGTTTGTAAAGCGGATATGTCTCATCCCTAATCCATTCACCGTCGAAGAACTCACAGCCCTTTAGAGATTCACTCCATTTCTCGATCTCTTGTCTCACTAAAGAAACTGAATCACCTTTACTGATTTGCTTTTTCGGTGTAGAAGCCGTTGATGAGGTGGAATTGGCTGTCAGATCCACCGACACGTGTGCTTTCGATGGAGATTGAGTTGATGTCTTGTTTCCAACATCACCGGTGGTTCGTGTCTGATTACTCGATCCTGTCGGAGACTTAGCTGGAAACAGAGGTTGAGAACTTGGGTCGGTTCCGTTTACGACCGGAGATTCAAAGGTTGTGTTTTTAGCGACCGGAGTTCGATTTTCCGGCGCCCGTGCTTGCAAAGTACTGTTTTTGACAACTGGGTCTGTCCCCTTTACGATCGGAGATTCAAAGGTTACGTTTTTAGCAGCCGGAGTTAGATTTTCCGGCGCCGGCGCTTGCAAAGTACTGTTTTTAGCAACTGGGTCTGTCCCCTTTACGATCTGAGATTCAAAGGTTACGTTTTTAGTAACCGGAGTTCGATTTTCCGGCGCCAGCGCTTGTAAAGTAGTGTTTTTAGCAACGTCGGAGACGGTGGAGTTGACAGAGACAGGGACGTCGCTAGATCTATTGGCGGGTTTAGTTAAAGTGGCATTGGGGATGATGTAGGAGAAGATTGAAGAGACGTGAGATCCGGAAGTGTTGTCTGATGATGAAGAAGCAGTGGTGGTTGTGGAGAAGGAGGAGGAGGAGGAGAAGATGTTGGAGAACCAAGGGGAAGATGAGTTTGTAGAAGGACTAAAGGCGAAAAACAGAGTGAAAGAGACGAAGGTTATTAAAAAGGCGTAAGCGAAAGTTGAGGTTTTTCTTGGTTTCAAGGCGGAGAAGAAGCTTTTGATCTCGGCTGCGGCGGCGGTTTTTGTTGTTGTTGTTCCGTTGTGGATCGGCGTATACTTGACGGCGTCTGACGCCATAGACGGCGAGGGGATAGAGAGAGAGAGAGAGAGAGTGGGGGAATGTGGAGGAGTTCGTGGCGCGTGAGGAGTGTTTTTTGGTGGTTTGGAGAGAGAGAGAGAAGTGCAGAGATGTGTGTACGAACTTGTTGAAGTGTTTTAAGAAAAGAGATGACTTTGAAAAAATTAAACAGGGGAATTGTCTAGACGACACCGTTATGGGATGACTTAAAGTGGAGAGTTTTGTATTAATTACCCCTCTGTTTAGAAGTTAATTACGGAAACACCACTCTCAAAGCGCGTGTCGGTGGTTACAGATTCGAATTTTTGTATACAGTATACGCGTATATTTGTATATAGATATCGATAGGGTTTGTAGATCTCTTGATCCGAGTTAAAAGTGTCAAAAGAAAAAAAAAATAGGTTTCTTCCTTGATGGTTAATTAGTCTAATCTGTTTTTAATGTTAAGTTATTACATTGTAGTCAAAAACTTATATGAACTAACTAATCATGAAATAAAATCCGGAAAGAAGATGTACACAGCAAATGATCAAAAGTCAAAATCAAATACGATGGTAGGCTTCTTGCCACAAGCAGAATAACAGTTTGGTGGCCTTATTGATAATACAATTCATTTAAGTGGAGCCCATATACGTGAAAATATGTGGAATGCAATATCTTAATGCCAAAAGTTGTCACATATTTACATCCTACCCCATGTTAAGTGTATCAACGTAAGTGACTGAATAATCCTAACGGTTTCTTGACAGCAAATGGTTTCCGCTATATTAGTGATATTTATCTTTAAATCGTATGTTATATGTTTATAGAATGTGATCTATGCGTATTCTTGATAATAGTGGTTATTCATGTAAAAGATGTAGCGCAAATAACAACCGAGAAACATAAATTCAGAAGCAGAAGCTATATATTAGTATGCACTGAACTTTTCTTAGCGAGGTATTGTGACCCATGCTGATGCAGCCATGCTTATCTTGTTAGTAACAAGTTGTTACAGTGTTGAAAATGATCGAGTCGATCGAATATCAGATGAGGCAGAACCAACAACGAAGGTAGAGTCTGTGACTTGAGTCATATACTTTGTACGTATCTAGCTACTTATATTAAACCTAGTTAGGTCACATGTTTTGGCGATGCCTTTGAAATCAATAATACATAAGTTTCCATTTCACGTCTATAAAAGTCTTTAGCGCGTGGGACCGTTTCCTCTATCTACTCTATCGAGTCTCAAAGTCTCAACTAATCTTCTGCAATTTATTTTATTCAAAACGCATTTCATTCATATGTGCATGTATTTCATATTGTGACATGGTTTCTATTTTTTTCTATATACAAAAAAGACTTGGCTATACATGAGATTAAGGTGGCTATATTAATTGTTTTAAAAATTTAAACTCACTTTTGATTTCCATAATTTTTAAAAAAATATTATTGGAGAGAGGTGGCCCCTACAGGCTACTTGCTCATCGGTGTCACTTTTCCAACTCATCCATCTTCTGGATAAGCCATCTCTTCATCTCCTCACATCTCTTCTCAAAGCAAAAAAAATATCTTAATTATGTCATTTGAAAACTTTAGAATATCTCATAACATATCTTCTTTTGAAAAGATCATACACATAGAAGAATGGCAGCTTTAGCATCAAACCCTCAAATACTAACGACACAAGGTCACAGTAATCACAAGAAGGAACAACTCTGGAGGAAAGAGAGTTTGAATTTGGAGAAGAAGTGTGGGTTTTGTTGTGTGAAGGTTTACAATTATGAAAAGCTTGGGAGGTCACAAGTAGAGAAAGAGTGGAGGTTAAAGGCTTTTTGGTCAAACGTATCACAGCCTGAGACTATTGAGATGGTACCCATTAACGACGTTGATGAGCTTGAAGCTGTTCTCTCTGACGCACGCAACCTCTCTCAGCCTATCATCATCGAATGGTAAATAAACACACACACCAAAATCATTTATCTCTGTATAATCTTTGATTAGAGATGGAATCCATTACTTGGTACCTTAAACTTATATGGTAAAAATTTGGAACAACATGTTACTTGTTAGATAAAATTTTTGCTCGCTAGATCATTCTCCACCTTCATTTCATTTCACTGAACTTTTTTCAACTTCACAATTTTCAAAACTAAGTCACTAACTAGTCAAAGCCTTATATGTGAACAGGATGGCTTCTTGGTGTCGGAAATGTATTTACTTGAAGCCTAAGTTGGAGAAATTAGCAGCAGAATATAATAACCGGTAAGCTAATAACAATTTTACAGTAATGTTACTGCAAAGGTCTAACACTTGTGTTGAGCTGAAATTAATACTAACAACAACAACAAAACAGAACAAAGTTTTACTACGTGGATGTGAACAAGGTGCCTCAGACTTTGGTGAAGCGTGGCAACATTTCGGTAAGAAAAATGCTTATAACAATCAATCACGTTTTGTTTGGTGTTTCTTTTTTTGCCAAATCTGAATCATTTTTCCATATTCATGTATTATGCAGAAAATGCCCACAATTCAGGTATGTTATCTTGTTTACAAATTATTTTAACAGTAAGAAATATTGTGAAATGGTAAATGAAAGTAAAAATAACAATGTAAAGAAGAAAGAGTTGATAAGTTGGTTATGTGCAGTTATGGAAGGAAGGAGAGATGAAAGAGGAAGTGATAGGAGGTCACAAAGGATGGCTTGTCATTGAAGAAGTCAGAGAATTGATCAACAAATATGTCTGATCCTCTTTTTTCTCTTCCCCATATCTTTTCTGTTAATCTGTACAGTCGCTTTTAATTTTTTTTGCTTTCTTCATATTTTTTGACATTGAGAATGAGAAAGATAACTAAAGTTGATAAGCTTTGTTTTAACTTTGCAATCAATTTTGTCAAAGATTAAATGACATACATGACAATATACTTTAGGTGAAGCACAAAGGTAAATAAGAAACTCAATTCTTTCAAGTAGTTTTAAATTGGCGCTTTAAGCACAACCGTCGCTTTGGCCGAGTGGTTAAGGCGTGTGCCTGCTAAGTACATGGGGTTTCCCCGCGAGAGTTCGAATCTCTCAGGCGACGTGTTTTCTCTTTTTTTTTGAAGGTACGCTTCCAACCTGTTGTCTGATTGTCTCTCACTTGCCATAAGAGCTGATTAACGGTGACGTGTGGTTCTTTCACGGTTGCTTTAAGTGCTTCACTAACAGAGATCAATAGGACTAAGGTTCATGCCGTATGTGGATCTTAAACAAGGTATGAGATAAAGAAGATGAATGAGCCTCAAAAGGTTCTCATGAGCAGTGGCTGACCCAGAACTAATTTTTACTGGGGTCATAAAAATGGGCCTTAGCCCAATGTTATGTATAAGAAAAATGGGGTCTAAAAATATGGGGTCACTGGATATCGAACCCGCGTTTTTGAGGGGTCAGAAGAAGTAATTCTAACCAAATGAGCTGAGAATTCTTTACTGTCATCTGTAATAATTCAAATATTTATAATTTTACCGGTGTCAGGTGACCCCATTCCCTTGAACGTGGGTCCGCCTCTGCTCATGAGAAAGCTTTGCGGTGAGCTAATGCTACTATGCTAACGCTGGTTCTCAGGCCGTGGGAACAAAAGTTTTTAGAGAGCCAAAACTGAGAGAGCTTGGAGCCATTCACAGTAAAGATATACACAAATTAATTACTAATTCCTTACTTCTATCAATAAAACCAAGTCATCAAACAAATCAACCAAAGCTCAAAAAAAAAAAAGAAACTAAAGCTGCAGATAATCAGACTGATGGCACAAAGTCAAACACTAACCTTCCCCATTTTACAAAAAACACAATCTGTTTCCCATTCTCAAACATTGAAACAACAATCTGTGCACAAAGAAAAAAAAAAGTTATTTAGCAGCGACCTTATTTGAACTTGCATCTTGCCCTTTTGCTTCTTTTTCCTTGATAAGGAGGAATATGCTCATGTTGAGACAAAATTCAACTTACGTATTTGAATTTCGTGACTTTTTCTTGATAAGATGCCACGATCATCGAACTTGTACCTTCTTATATAAGAACATTCAAGAAAATGTTTGATAAAATATAGAAAAAAAACAGCAAAAAATCATCAAAATATAACAAAATTCTGAGGATAAATGAATATAAAATATAAAATATCATTAGATATGTAAAGTTAGATTAAACCAAATAAATATAGGTACCTGTTACGAATTAGTTGATTACTGTAATTATAGAAGTAAAACATAATTGATTAGCTATTTGAGTAAAGTAAATAAAATCAAAATACAGTCCAATGATGCAAGTGAAAAGTGATGGCAAAATGAAAACAGATACAAAGACTTACAGTTCTTCTATAGGCTCCATCAAAGTTATTCTGGAGGGGACAATCAGCTTCAACCACGAGATCATTACGCTGAATGATCTTTGAGATAGATCCTAACTTTGGAACAGAACCATCATTAATATCGACCAAATTCAATTTTGCAGCCTTGTTAATCAGGTCTTGAGTAGAGTGGTAGGCATCATATGCTGACGTTTTTTATTTATATTCAAATAAGCTTCAACGTGTCTAGTAAGTGCGATTGCATAGCATGTGTTCATCAACTGGATCAGAATGCATATCTGAAGAACTCTTGGTTGACAAAATAGATTTGTGTGTCTAGCTTAGCGGCCGATCATACAATATTTTTTCTATAAAGTTATTTTTATTGTAAGAAATATAATATTTTGCTTAACTGTTGAGACAATTTATCACTTAAAAATATTCATATTATATTAATTTTTTTTTCATAACTGGATTTATATTGTAACATTTGTAATCCTGTTTTATTTTAATAGAATTGTAGACCACAACGAACTGAAAAATTGAAAAAATACAAAATGACAATATTTTACATGAATAAAGAAAATATAATCACTAGATTTTAGTGTATATATCGTTATTGTAAGACGGTGGAGATGTATAGTTTTAATTACGCTCTAATTAATATCAAAACAAAAAACATACAAAACATTAAACTATATAAATTTAGTGTTATACACTCTAGGAGATAAGAATTGAATATGATTTATTGTCTAAAAGATTAAAATTTCACAAATCTTACTAATTCTAATAATTTATATAATGAATAAGTTTATAAAAATATTAAAATACTAAGATTTTCAAATCTTAGTATTGATCCAATATCCAGGGAACAAAAGTCTTTAACTATTTTACTCAACCATCTATCAAGCAAACATATGAAGCAAAATTTTATTTCCAAACGTCAATAAAGATATATATATATATATATATATATATATATATATATATATAAATGTCGACAAAGGAAACATAAATCCACACTACACTTTGGTTCAAAGAGTCAACAACCAAGAGGAAGATACCATGGTTGATGATTGGTTCGACTGTGGTAAAAATTTAACTCTAAAAGTTAATTTATAAGTAAGTTAGTTGTAGTTGTAAAGTAATAACTGTAGTTTTTATTGCAGAGATTTTTGTTGTAATTAAATTTGTTGTAGTTGTAAGGTATATGATGTAAATATTTTAAAATAATATATATGATGTACATATAAAATAGTTATTTTTATCAACTAAAATAATTTATATTAATGACTTCTATTAATTATCAAAGTTTATTGTTATTTAAAGTGTGATATGTAAATACTATTTTATGTTATTTAAAAAAAAATTGAATAGTTTTGAAAACATCCAAAACTAAATTAAAATATAGATAGACACATTCTTGCACATAGTTGAGTTCAGCAGCAACACGAATGAATCCACGATCTCCGATATCAATATCCCCTAGCGAGTCTTGAAATTCCAGATAATGCCTCCCATATCTGTCAACCCCATCACCTACGAGGAAACACAAGTAAAAAAAATTAAGATGTAAATAAAAAACAATAGGAAATAAGTAAGTCTAGACCTAATAAGAATATCGTGTGCAACTCAATAGCGCAGTCAACATCATTAATCCTATCCTCTTCATATGCTTCAAATTCCGCTGATGTAGGCTTGTATAGGTGCTACAATAAGAAAATATGCATTAGAATTAGTAATAAGAACATATAAGAAGGAATGAGATTGCTTACATCAATTTTCTTCGATTTGGAACTGTAAGATGGATACATTAGCACTAAGCAAGCCAATGGTCCATCTTCAAGTTCTGCCAAAATCAAAGGAAGCATGGATTCAACTTTAACATCGTCTTCGACTAGCAGAACTTCAATGTTGGGAGCTCTAAACTGACACGTCTAAAATAGATAAAGAAATCAGTAAATATAGAAAAAGACAATAAGAAAAGAAAATATCTGAAATTTACAGAATCAGTTAGGTAAGATGCAGGATCACGAAGTTCATATGTGAATGGGCAATCTGAGTCGAGTATGAATCCCTCCTCTTGAAGTATAACCAATGATTTCAGTTCATCCACAGTCCAGTCACAATCAAGCAATTTATTGTGTTTTGCTAGATTGAGAATGTGTTGTACCGAAAGGTATTCATCCCTTCTTAACTCACCATTCTGCTTGAAATAAGTTTCAGCATGCCTAGCCAAACCAATTGCATGACATATACCCTTCAGTTGTTTGGTGGAAATTGAGAGCAGGCTTGGGTTGTTGATAAGGAAACAAAAGTGTTTAACTATTTTATTTAGCCATCTATCAAGCAAAACATGAAGTAAACTTTTAAAAGTATAATATAAATTTGTCAATCTGTGTTTCTTAGATTAAAGATTTGATCAAGAGACTTTTTGTTCCTAAACAATGCACAAATTATGTAAATAGTAGGAGATATGTTTTAAAATGTTCCCAAAAATGATGCCACGATCATGAAGATTAGTAACTAACTAGGTTATTAAAGACCAAAATAAAATGTTAAAGTTTGATTTATTCTGTGTTTAAATAGAAACATTTGATAAAATTGAGATTTAATTGGTTAAGAAAAATCTAGGTTTTGTGACAATAGTTTTTCGGGATCAAAGTGATGATGACTATAATCATTTTCATACAAAAATATTATATTATAGTATAATCTAGGATATTATTAATAATAAAATGATTATGATTCGTAGAGTGAGATGTTTGATTTATGTTGATATAATTCAAATCAAACAAATTGTAAAAATCTTGAAAACAAGAATAACACAAAGTATTCAAATCATTGGTTGAATAATAATAGATTTAAAATCTATTTATTGAAGAAGTCAGAGAATTGATCAACAAATGTGTGTGGTGCTCTTTTTTCTCTTCCTCATATCTTTTATGTTAATCTGTACAGAATCTTTTAATTTTTTTGCTTTTTGATATTTTGACATTGAGAATGAGAAAGAGAACTAAAGTTGATAAGCTTTGTTTTTACTTTTTCAAACAATTTGTCAACGAATAAATAAAATGATAGTGCACTTCAGTGAGATACAAAGGTAAATAAGAAAGTCAGTTTATTAATCAACTTTCGTTTGGTACTTTTAACCCAATCGTCGCTTTGGCCGAGTGGTTAAGGCGTGTTTCTGCTAAGTCACGCATCGAACTTGTACCTTCTTATATAAGAGCATTCAAGAAAATATTTGATAAAAATATTTAAAAGAAACAGCAAAAAATTATCAAAATATAACAAAATTTCGAGGATAAATGCAGTTGGAGAAGTCGAAACAAAAAAAAATAATGTATCTGCAACTGCCAATGAAATTAAAAACATACCCGTGAGTGACAAACGTAAGACAAAAAGAAAGTCGTGAGAGTAATGGCCATTATGCTTGTCAAGCGTTTGAGAAAAAGGTAGTAAGAGTTTTGGCCACTATGAGTGTAAAGAGCGTGAGAGACATCCTTCCCTTCTCAATCACGGTTAGCCACCAAATCTTCTCCCTTTATTCACGCCATTGTTCTATTCCTACAAACAAAAAATGATTCATAAATTACTTGAAAAAAGAAGGGTTAAATAAAGAGGAAGGGTGAAATAGAGGAAGTACAAACCTTGAATAAAACACAATCCAGAACAGTGTTATGCTTAAATTCAAACCTTATAAAACCACGGTCTCCAATGTCAATGTCCCCAAGAGAATCCTGAAACTCAAGATATTGTATTCCATATAAGTAAATACATATTTTTAAGCTTAAGAAGAATACAAAGTACAACATCTAGCATGTACTCTACGATCTCTTTCCTCAAAGGAGGCTCTGCTCTTGATAACAGCTCATGGCCTGGTATCAAGAGACTGCCTAATTGGTTCACAGTGAATTGGATGTAGATAAATTATTTCTGGAAGCCGAGGATGGCCATAAATACATAGATCATGTGAGCCAAGGATAGACAAAAGAATCTCACAACTAGTTGTGACTCTCCCATTTCTTTAACCCTTTTGCTTACAAAACTCGAATCTCAGTACTATTAATTCCTTCATTATATTATGATTGCTGATTTTTTTGGTTTGATTATGAAATGGTACAAGATACAGATTTTAATCTCTATGCGACTTCGGAAAATTTCAGCAACGAGAAAATCAGTGGATAATATCATCCTCACTTCATAAAAAATTTAAACAATTGAGAAAGATCCTAATAGGAACAAGGTTTCTTTGGTCTTTAAGATTCAAACAGGAATTCAAAACATTTTTTTGTCTTTTAATTTCAAAGGGGAATTAGAAAATTTTGAAGAACAAGATCAACTCTACGGCTGTAGAATCTCCACACTCAGGTTGTCATAGGGATAGAGTAGTGATGTCTACCACAACAAAGAAAATAACAGAGAGAAATAACTTGTCAGAAAACAAGAGCAACAATTCATCTAATGTACAAACAAGAGAAACATCACAAAAATACCAAAAAAGAACAATAATATAAAATAACATGTCGAAAGCATATACATCTCAGCAGAGATGACCATCATGTGATATACAAAAGATATAACATGGATTGTCAGGGAACAAGAATACTAAGAGCAAAATTAGTGCAGTTTTCTTAGGATGAAGTTCATAACGGAATATAAGAAACTGTTTCTTAGTTTTTAACAGAAAAACTAAGAAAATACTCTTAAATAAGAGATTTAAGAACCGTTTTTGGTTTTCTCAATTAAAAGTTAAAAACAATTTATTTTCACTAAGAATCATACACTAAAAACCTACATTAATGATACTCTAACAAATCACCCAGGCATCATGAATTCACAAGAAATATCAAAAAGAACAATCACATCACATTATAAAATAAATTCTTCTCCTATCGAAAAGCAAACCTGTGAATGTAGTCTCCAATGGTTTGTTCTCAACCATAATCAAACTTTCTGTTTCTTTAGAGCCGGGCCAAAGAAATGTTTGATTTATGCATGTTGATATATTTCAAATCAAACAAATTGTAAAAATCTAGAAAATAAGAATAATACAAAGTATTCAAATCTTTAGTTGAACCATATTGTACTAGAGCACTTGGGAATCAACAAATATGAAGAGTTTTTAAAGTAAACAACAATCATAATCACAACAAATTCAGTATTTATCCAATCTCTCAAATCATCATCAATCAAAGAAAAGAACATGGTCATCTTAGTCTATTGCTAAGATTAACTCCTATATGGGCTTAGGCTAAGTCTGGAATAAATTTTGAGGCCCAGGAATATATATAAGATTAGAGATAATATCAAATCCTAAAGGAAAAGAAAAAGTCAATTATAAATATCGGGACGGGACCGTAGATATCACCAAAAACTGTAAAAGATACCTTTTATAAGTTTATTAGTTATAATTGCCAAATTATTGCAGCGACATTTGGAGAATTTGTGTAATGGGATATAACACTGACCTTCACCATGATGATGTGGAGAGATCACAGATGTTTGTGTCGACGTATTTGCAAATAATATTCTCAACAGGTTTGTGGCTCTTTCCTCTAGTAGTATTCTCAAGTTTATATATGCTAATAACTTGTGTTTGTTTGTTTTTCTCAGTTTTGGTTTTTATTTACTTTCTTGGAGAAGGCACTGCTGACAAGGCGTTGGAACTTAATGGAACTGACATGGGAAGATGGAATGTCATTGTTGAGCCTTTTCGGGAAGATGCAGACTGGTAACACAGCTAATCTTTTTTACTTTTTTTTTTGGGTATTCTCTTTCTTTCAAGAGTCCTAGACTCCTAGGTATTGTTGGATTTGAGCAATTGAATTTAGATTTTTTTATTTTCAAGATCTTTGTATTTGGTGTATTGGATTTTATCAATGTGTATATAGCTGACTATATTAGGGTGTATAAGACTATTTGGTTCAGCTGACTCTATAACTACCTACTGTACGTAACATATAAAACGCAGCTTTTAAGATGTGTTTGATAATTATATTTATTCATATTATTGCAGGGACATTGTTCAAGGATATGACACTAGTCTTGATAAGAGATATATCAAGAGAATGTTGTTTGATTATTTCTCTTCATGTGGACACATCAGTGATATCTTGTTTCACAAGAGGGTTTGTACATGGTTGCTTCATCCATTTTATTAAAGCAAATGTCTAACTTAGGAGACTTGTCATTGTTTTGATTTTTTTACAGCGTTGGTGTGGCTTCTGTGTTTCTTTATGGAGAAGGTGCAGAAGACAAGTTGCTGGATCTTGATGGATCCTACATGGGAGGAAGCAAAATACTTGTTAAGGTTATTCCCTCGACGGGAATACACACTGTCCACCCTCGTCGTCGTTATACTGCCTGGCCCAGGTACATGATTTTGATAAATTTTGATTCATATTTCCTGTTTATTGGTAACTAACAAAGTAAAACCTTCGCTGTTTATTTTAGGTAATAAGGCTAAAATGGTTTCCGAAGATTAGAAAAGCTTTCGGATCTAGTGGGAGAAGACAAATACAAGCTCTGCGTTGTTTGAATCTAGGTGAAATAATGCAACATACTACATGTCTATTACTACTTTTTATGTTTTTTATTTCTTCTACTTTTTATCAATTACTACGGTTTGAGATGATTTGATTTTTATTGAAATTTTAGATGATTTCAATGAATTAGAGAATTTGAAGTGATTTTGTTAAACCACTCTAAAATATCACCTAAAACCTTGGGATATGAGTTTTATTTTTTTAACTAAAGAACTCCACCCAAACACTCTAAAATCACTTGAAACTTTAAAACTCCACAACTTAACTTTTTTTTCCAATAACAGGATTTCATAGTACTTTTAAAATTCTTGTTTCAATAACAGTGGATTGTCATTTTAATACAAATCATCTAAAATTCTCATTTGAAACCCCCCCCCCACATGATAATTATCATCTGCTGTCATAGGAACTTGTACGTAATCATGTGCTTTCATTGGAGCTTGGAAGTACTGTTTTATTGGATGTTCAAACTAAAAGCTTAAGAAGAATACAAAGTACAACATCTAGCATGTACTCTACGATCTCTTTCCTCAAAGGAGGCTCTGCTCTTGATAACAGCTAATTGCCTGGTATCAAGAGACTGCCTAATTGGTTCACAGTGAATTGGATGTACATAAAGTATTTTTGGAAGCAGAGGATGACCATAAATACATAGATCATGTGAGCCAAGGATAGACAAAAGAATCTCACAACTAGTTGTAAATCTCCCATTTCTTTAACCCTTTTGCTTGCAGAACTCGAATCTCAGTACTATTAATTCTTTCATTATATTATGATTGCTGATATTTTTTGGTTTGATTATGAAATGGTACAAGATACAGATTTTAATCTCTATGCGACTTCGGAAAATTTCAGCAACGAGAAAATTAGTGGATAATATCATCCTCACTTCAGAAAAAATTTAAACAATTGAGAAAGATCCTAATAGGAACAAGGTTTCTTTGGTCTTTAAGATTCAAACAGGAACTCAAAACATTTTTTTTGTCTTTTAATTTCAAAGGGGAATTAAAAAATTTTGAAGAACAAGATCAACTCTACGGCTGTAGAATCTCCACAATCGGGTTGTCATAGTCTCCACAATCGGGTTGTCATAGGGATAGAGTAGTGATGTCTACAACAACAAAGAAAATAACAGAGAGAAATAACTTGTCAGAAAACAAGAGTAACAATTTATCTAATGTACAAACAAGAGAAACATCACAAAAATATCAAAAATATCAATTCATCTAATGTACAAACAAGAGAAACATCACAAAAATATCAAAAATATCAAACATAAATATGAGCATCAAAATATCGCAAAATAACAATAATATAAAATAACATGTCCAAAGCATATACAGCCCAGCAGAGATGATAATCATGTGAATTCAGGGCCATATAATAGCATGTGCACGTGGAGCAAACAAACAGAACTCCAAATCTAAAAAAAAGAAAAAAATAAAGAAAAAATAGAAAAAAAAATTAATTTTTTTTTAAAAATATATAAATAAATTATGATAAAAAATTTAAAATATATAGATATATTAATAGATTATTACAAAATCTTCTCTTCTTTCTCGCTTCAGGCCATATCATTTTTGTTGGTCTTCTCGCCGGTGGGGAGTGAAGCTTTCGATTTGGGTTCCATGAAAATTTTCGTGAGAGAGAGAAGAGGCTCTAGAAAGTTTAATCGTTAGGAAAACATAAGGGAATGGAGAAGATCTATAAATACACAGTCGGGGAAGATGGTGAAGGGAGGAATCCATTGAATGAGAGGAGATGAAGGATTGAATAGGTTGAAGAAAATCTTATACAATAAAGTTGAGTTTTCTCACTTCTCAAGCCTCCACATCAGCATTAGAACATGGGGCAAAATAAGACATGTCAGCAATTACTAATTGAAATCAAACCGGACAAAATGAATTCTTCCCATCTCGGTTTGTCACATTCTAATTTGTTGAGTTTTTTTGACAAAATGGGTTTGGGCTCTTCAAAATATAATAGCCAGTTATAGAATGATTTATGTGTTACCCAACTTGCATAATTTTTTTAAGATTTACACATATTCTCAGTCCGTTAAGTCGTCTTCTTACCTTCCGACCTAGGTTTCAGAGATCAAACCGACGATCACCTTTTTGTAAAGTTTGTTCTCATACGTCCTTATATTTCATATAAAATAATTAACACTTGCACAGTTTATAACTAAACAAGGTGTATAGTTTGTATCACATATATTGCAACATATTCAACGTTTTAGTGTACACAATTTAAAGTAATAAATGATAATAATTAACACAAATTAATAGAATTATGAAGATACCATCATAGAAAATTATGAACACTTTCATAACTCATACAAGAGTAGACAAGCTACAGAGCTAATGAACAGTTGCACAACTTCTAAAAGAATAAACAAAGATCAGAGCTTATATCACTTTGTTTAAACAAATGTCGGAGCTTATATCGCTTTGGTTTATGATTGCCACATATATAAGAATCTGTTCAAAAAAATGATTGCCACATATAAAAGGTTTTAGATGGGAAATTCATAAGTAACAAATTGATAATAATTAACACAAAATAATAAAATTAAGAAGTTACCATTACAGAAAATTATGAACACTTGAACACCTCATAAAAGATTAGACACATTTCAGAGTTTATATAACCTATATTGACACATCCTATACGCTTAGAAGGCAAGTTTATAAATAACAAATTGCTAAAAATTAACAAAAGAAAATTTGGATTTAAGAAGCTATAACCTTACAAATTAAAGGTTATCGTTGCAGGGTGCCTACACGCCTCCCAACTGAATGAATAGCTCACACTGTAAATGCAGGGTAATTATAAAAGCCAGTAGTTACGTATCTCCTACATTCTTTCACTACACAGTTCTGATGCAACCTCTTGATTCTTAATTACTCAATCATTGCAATTTTCAGAAATAATGGTGAATACGCCAGTTGGACTTAATGGCAAAGCAACCACAGGGAGATCTCCAAAAAAGCTCGGTGTTTCTGAACACTCCACCGCATCATCATCATCTGTAACCAAAAGAAGTCATAAAAAGAAAAAAAAAATTGGTCCAAAGGAGACGTAAACTTCTTCTTTATGACTTTGACAACTTACTCTTTTGTAAACAAATTTATGTACTTATTCCTACTCTTTAATATTTGTTCCTCCAGTATCTGAACCACGGAAGCCTTGGCTACAAGAGCAATATCTACCACGCACACCAGACCCCCTCCCCCCCATATCGGACACCTATCAGCTGAAGCTCATCTTAATAGTGAGGGAATAAATCAGTACTTCTTCCACCACAAATCAGTCAAAGCACTCAATCACTTCACATGTGTCAATCTGCTTATGGAAAATACGATAAGGGTATGTATTTTTGTGGTTTATTAATGTTGTGAAGAAAAAACCTCAAAGAAGGAAAATATTTCTTTGATATCCTTAACTAAGAACACACACTATCAAAATCCGATTGCTGCTGGAATAAGATTAAGAGGTTCAAGTACTTTGGGTATCCGATCAGATTTCTTTGATACACTACTGCGGCAATGCTATCAAGAAACTTATGTTCGGGACAAGAACGTTCTCTGAAAACACCGCACCTGACGGTGGACCAACAGCAGAGGATATTGAGCATATGGAAGCTATGTTTGAAACATTAGGGTTTACGTTCGCCTTTTGTATCTCTGATTATCTACCTATGTTCACGGGACTTGATCTTAACGGTCACGAGAATGGTGGCGTTTAATAGATAACTGATCAGTCTAGGATTGTTACTATTTTAGGAGGACGAAACTATATATTATCTTCCTTGAAACAACATAATCACAAAACAAACACAACTATTTACATTTTTCATTCACAAACATGAACTTTACTTGATCTTTAAGTATTTACTAAATTAACTTTTTAAATTCTATCAAATTTTTACTCTACTTTTATTTGTTTCGATTAATAATAACCACTTATGCTACTCTATTAATAATCAGAAAAGATCATTGTCTTCAACATAATTACAACATTAAATTTCTGAACATAATCTCTTCACTAAGGCCACAAAATAAATCGCAACTTCTTTTATAATAACATATATGAATCCGGCGCGTAGCGCCGGCACACCACTAATTAATAAAAAAAGAAGTGGGTTGGATTAATGGTGAAAATTGAAGAAATTGAAGAGAAGACATCGCAGGCGAGGAAGTGGAAAGGTTAGAGAGATCTGGAAACTAAACTTTATGCAGACGCTAAGTTTTACCGACACAAACCAAACTAAAAATTGAGAAGCCCAAACCGACGATTACAATTTATTCCAGAACCAAAAGTGTTTACCGACACAAACAAAAACAATAATTCAGAAAACCAAACCAAAATCGTATTTTTGTTAAGAACCAAAATCAGATGTCAAACCAAAACTGATATGGAACTTTGAAAGAATATTACTGGTTAAATAAAAATGCCTACGTTGGGCTAGAGTTAACCCTTTTCTTGTCAACATTTGTTTACCGTAAACCCTTTGTTCAACTAACCCATAACTTGTAACAAGTTTTTTTTTACAGGAATTTATGATCTAATAACCAATGAATCCGTCTTTGCTAGTTGACCAAACTTTACAAGTCTTTGTGTCACCTGACCGAGACAGTCAAAAAGAAGCTAATACATTGTCAGTCAACACTCAACCACCATGTAATTGTTTATTATTTACAAATTTCCAAAATTCGATTGTGTATTTAAAGATTTATCTACAATCAGCATGCAGAAGACAAACTTAATACCAGAAACCTGCTTCATATCAGTACTGAGACTCGAGACAATAGACATGTTGTCAATTACAACTTCAACTTCCGAAAAACAAATTTTGTTTGGTCTTCTAGTTTTCCACTATCAGAAACCCCCATTGATACGAGAGTGGTCTTAGTTTTTAGTGTTCAAGGTGGAACACATACTCCGCCAAGCGCTGTAGCTTCGATGAATCAACCTTTTGCTCTCTTTCAACAGCTTGCTTCTTCACAGTCACCATTTGAGATGTTGTGTCCACTGTCCAGCCATTCTTCACAACATCTGTGTATATCCAACAACAACATACAATTACAGAATCGTTCATTCTGATTCCGCAACATATATGATTGACACTAGAGAGACTAAGCTAAGACATTGCGTACAAAAGTAGAGAGACAGTAATAGTCCCAAAAGATAGCTGTTTGTGACTAGTATCGATATAAGAATGAAGTCAGTAGAAATCTAAGAACTGATGTAGCACGGGCTGGAGCAGCAGGCAAATTAATCTTTGAAAGCAAAGGCAAGTATAGAAAGAAAGCTTACAAGTTGTGGCATCATCTTCTGTCATCCCAAGGAAAAGAGCTAAATCACGGATGGTAATTGTGGAGTCGGCAGACCTCAAAAGCTGAAACCTCCTTTTTCTGTAAACATGTGCAACAAAACCAACACATAAATTATTAGGCGCTGATAGAATGAATATTAAAGTTTAACAACCATTAAATGCTATGCTTATAAATAGGATGAGGGGAAAAGGTACAAGTTCACACAATTCCGATCAATGTTGAGGCTTTTGGTTGGAGAAACTATGGTAACACAAATCCTAAAGTAAACACACCTGAGAATGCAGCAACCATATCTTTAGTTTCCTGACTCCAATCATAACCCCGAATAGCTTCATATACATCTGCATAGTCGCGTGTACACAGCTTCTGACCAATCGCCCAAGCAGCAACAACTTCAGGCTTGCTCTCCTTCACACTTGAAGGTATCTCTTCCCAGAGGGAACGTGCGCTATCACTGCAGTATACACATTAAAAGAAACGTGTTTCTTCTTCTATCTGTAATAATATATAACCAAAGAAGAGACATCAACTCACCAATCGTCAACATACAAGTGACCCAGAAGATGGATTGCGTAAGGCCAGTCATCATGGAAAGAGATTCCTTCGGAAGAAACCTATCAATTAAAGATCGAACAATTATCCTCACAAAAATCCACTTAACGAGAAAAAACGAAAAAAAACCCTAGCTGACCAGCAGAAACAATGATAGAGAGAAATTAAGGACCTGTAGCATGAGATTATCACAGATATCAGCAATTTTATCAAAGGATTTGACGGCTAAAGCTTCTGTAACAGGGGAGAGATCCATGGCTTGTTTCGTTATACTACTGTTAGAGATTTGTGAAGGTGAAGATCGTTTTTCTCTGGGAGATTTCTCTAGGGGATCTCCTTCACGCTTTCTCTTGGAGCTTTCTATTGAAGGTAAACTGTATTTTTTTCAGAAAAAAACATTATAAAAACAATATCGTTTTATAAAAAAACGATAAAAGAGAATTCGAAATTTCACCCTCTGAAGTAAATATCACGCAGAGCATCTTCTGCAGAAATTCTCTGCACCAAAACAAAAAAAAAATGAAATACCATGAAAAAGCGGCTTTATATAAACTTTGATGTTTACCTTTGTGGGATTAAGCACAAGCATCTTGTCTAGAAGATCCAGAGCCTCGGTATCAAACTTTCTGAAAACCTCTCTTACTCTCCTGTTACAAGCTTTGAGAGATCCTAAACGTTGATAAAAATCAATGTCTTTAGCCCCAGGCCAGTTAGTTTCATCTGGGGTTCCACAAAGCTCACAGATCAGTTTCAGTTGATCCTCCTGCAAAAGTAAAACACAGTTTAGTTCATATATCAAACAACTAAATACAATAAAAATAACACTTTTACCTTCTCTTCGCCCGGAAATATTGGATTACGTAATCCATGTGTGTTGCTTAATAGACCGGCAAACACACAAGCAGCAGACCACATGTCCACTTCAGGACCATACTCAAAAGAACCCAGAATTAACTCCGGAGGCCTGCCAAAATATGTATTAGAACTAAACATATAAACCAATAATGAAAAGAGGAATAAACGCATGAGACTTATATACCTATAAGCTAGGGTTGTCACTTCATCTGTAAGATTTTTTAAGATTGACGATAATCTGGGATCAATTTCTTCACCAGGAAAGGTAGAAACATCAACATCAGAATGCCCCTCAGACAGATCTCGAGAAGAGCCAAAGTCTCCCAACTTCAAGTTAAGCGCTGAATCAACCAGTATGTTAGCATCTGTGGAGGAAACAGATAGATTTTAATAAGAAGAAAAACAGAAAACAGTAAGAGAAGGGAAGGAGAAGCAACAAAGCATATTTGACCTTTGATATCACGATGAAGAATTTTTTTAGAATAAAGATGATGAAGTGCCTTGAACAATTGATTCATGAGATGCTGCTTGTTCAAGAAAAACATATAAACATATAAGTAGAAGAACATAGAAGAGCATATATGATTATTACAAAAGCTGTCAATGTCATACCTTAATGTTTTCGGATGTAAGATCAATTTAATTTGCTAGTGACAGTAAATCATAATCCATGAATTCAAGCACAAGACAGGGTTTGTTCTCATCTAAAAAGAAAAACAAAATTGGGAGCCGAGTAAGATTTCTCAATTCGGAAGACAATTCTCAATTCGGAAGTGAGTGTTACCTGAATAACGCAGAGCTTTCAATGAAATGATATTATCATGCTTCAATCTTTTGAGAATCTCTATCTCCTTCTTTGCTACTAAACCTGAATCCCTAAGCTTTTTTATTGCAACAATCTCACCAGTTATCCTATTCTCAGCTCGGTACACTACACTGTAGAAAGTCTATCTATCAATTAAGAATCTCTTAAGAATAAATTGATGTTCTCTATCAAGGACGAATCTGATAAACAAGAAGAATCGAGAAATACCTGAAGGCTCCTTTACCAATCATAGCTCCGATCTCGTAGTCTTCTTCGACATCAACTAGAACAGGCACTTCTGGACTCGCCTCTGAATCAGAAATCACCATCGCATTCTCTTCTCTGATCGCCTTCTCCTCTGAATCAGAAATCACCATCACATTCTCTTCTCTGATCGCCTTCTCCTCTGAATCAGAAATCATCGGATCCTCTGAAGCGGAAATCGCAATCGCTTCCTCTGAAGAAGAAATCTTCAGTTCGGTGTGTTTCTCTAATATTCGCGGACTCTCTCTCCTTCAAAAATTGGCTCCTCAATATTGGGTTTAAAAGATGTCCACAATCACGCGCAAAAATCAAGTGATTGTACATATCTACTCCTCTTAATCCCGGTTCGATACCGGCTGCAAACAAAAGTTCAAGACTTAGATTTTGTGAATAACAAATATTGGGTGAGAAACTCTCACTTTTTGGATTATTTTGATGTATCTTACCGGCACGAGTGGAAGTGAATATAAAGGGTTTCAGATCTCCTGAGTTTGGAGCAAGAGAAGAAAAGATTTGATTGGTTTTCAATTTATATTCGTTGGCCAATCCCAGATCTGGTGATTTCTTGGATTTCTTCAATGGTTCCACCCCAGATCGGCTCATCCACACCAATTGAATCGACATATCTGGAATTAGCCAACGAATATTGAAACCAAAATAAAATTTTAGAACAAGAAACTTGATCAAATATAACAAGGAATTTACGAAGGATTGAAACCAAAATAACAAAGAGAAAGTTGATGAACACATGAAAAAGGAGAGAAAATATGAAACACAAAAACCAAGACTTGACAAGAGATGTGAACGTTATTAAAAGGACGGGTCGGTGCGCAGTTAACGTCTCTATATATCCTATTAAAAGATAAGGTTCGCCACATGTCACCTGTGCGTGAAATACACATCTTGTATTTTATATGACCAAAGATATTGTGTTCAAAAAATAATAATAATTTATATTATTATTTACAAAGAGATTTTTTCGCAACGGACCCCTTGTTAAAATGAGTAATTTTATTGGTTAAGCTGTGACTTTTGTTATCAATAGTATACTTTTCTATTGGTTAAGCTGTGGCTTTTATTAAAATTTCTATTAATTGAATTTTTTGTTTTACTTTTATGGAATTCATGTTATTGTAATGTTATAAATTAATAATAAAAACATTTTCTCATTATTGTCGTATAAGTTCTTAAGTTTTATTACATCTTTTTTTTCATAGTATTGTCTTATAACTTTTATTAGATCACTGAAACAAAAAGTGAATTGATGTATCAAATGTATTAATCTTTAATGGCCTAATTAAATTCGGTTGTCCCAAATCAGAATAACGGGAGAGAGAGAGAGAGGGATATGTGTAACATTTCTTTTAATTTGTCTATATACATTTTACGAAAAATTTATGCATAATAATATTTTCACCTAAAATAAAGAATTACAACACATATACAATACAATTTTAATTAGTGATAATAGAAAATATGTTACTTATAAAACTACACACTATTAATTTCAGATTTGGAAAATAAAATCAACTTTCAACACACAATTTTTTTTGTGATGTTGCAATTATAAATACACACAATAACTACCTATTGATACTGAAGTTACTTTGTTCCATCTCCTCCATGTAAAATATTGTGTACCGGCATTTTTTGTGCCTGAAGCTTTACCTCAAAGACGGTGATCTTATGATATAAAATCTATTACTTCTAAAACTTTGTATTATTAAGTCCATAATTTAAATCTGTATATAGCCGCACAGGGTGCGGACCGGTCACCTAGTATATAATATGTCAGATGCAAACAGAAAAAATACAAAACATCACAAACTAATTCAAATTTTGTTATCCACTCTTGTTTTTTCAAAGCCCAATTTATGAAGGATATGAGAACTGGATTTTTGTTTTAGCTAGTGTCCAAAAGATTTAAGAAAATCACAAACTAATTTTGATATAATTTTCAATCAGTTGTTCTATTTTGGTAGTAGTTACCCTTTTTGTAAAAAAGAAAAGAAAAGTACATAGGTTTTATTTTGACACAACTCCCATTTCTCAATTAGTTTATTTAGTTAAACTAGGTTACAGAAGATAAATGCACATAACGAGGAAAAAAATCAGATAGAAACTTAGATTAACGCCCTAAAAAAATCAACTTAGAAACTTAGAATAACAAACAAAGAGCAAAAGTTAAAAGTCCCATGAGCAAAAATTAAAATTACCCAGACTAACGCAACCTCAGAGAAAATATATCTGTGTTAGGAGGGAGTGTTACAAAATTACAATAGTAGCCCCTTAAATGCTATGTCTCTCACTTAGATTTTTTTTCCCTGTTGGTGGAGTCTCTCTATCCCACCGTCAATCCATCTCCGATCAGTGACTATGATGACTCCGGTTTTTAATGTCCGGTTCATCAGTCTCTCTCTCTCTCTCGTTAAATTGATGTTCTCGTTTTGCTTTCGCCCTGAATCTGCTTCTCATTGTTTCTTTAGCTGATCCCTTAGGTTTTTTTTTTATAATTTTTATTTGGTTGGAGTTTGAATCGATTGAATCATCGTTGTAGATTTTCTTGGTGTGTTAGTTTAGTGATTGTGGTTTCTATTTTTGTTGTTCCGATCACAGTAGGGTGAGATTAGTTTTTTTTTTTTTTAGTGAGAAGTCTAATTCATGGAGGTTTGTTCATGTTTCGCAGCAGCCAGAGGATGAGGAGATGCTTGTGCCGCATTCAGATTTGGTTGATGGCACTACTCAGCCCATGGAAGGTAAGACTTTTTTTTAGGTTTGATTCAATTTGATCTGCTGATGAAATTTCTTCTTTTGATGGAATTGAGTGGATGAGATAGAGCTTATGTAGTACTAGCGGGCCGGATAGGGTTTTGAAATTCAGAGTGGACTGTCCCAAACTTCTCTAGGCAAAACACCAGGAAGCATTACTCCGATGTGTTTGCTGTTGGAGGTTACAGATGGTTATTAGGATAAAACCTAGTTTCAGTGTAAATTTCTTAACCTATCTTAACCTTATTTTTTATTATGCTTATGATTATTTATTCTGTTATTGAAGTAACGGTTTTTGGGACTTATTTACAGGAAATCAAGTTTGAACCGTGTGTCATGTTCGAACACCTGGACCCAAGAAAACTTCATTTAGATTGTGTCAAGTACTGTTTCACCCTTATCAACAGAAAATTTTCAGCTCATGTGTCTTTTGTGACATTGGGTTTTTTCTTACTTTCAGATCGAAGATGGAATGCCGCTACCCAGCTGTGCCTTAGTATGTCCAGAGTCGACAGGTATAGTTGAACCAAGCTTTGGTTTCTAAAGTCAAGCTTGGTAGAGTTAGGCTAAGTATAGCTCTCAAATGATAAGCTCTCTTTCTAGTGGCATATATGTGTTTCAGTGAGCAGCTCCGAAATTCACATGTCCTATTATATTTTATACCACTAGTTCCTTATATGTCAATCAAATTAGAGAAAAATAAGTATGCTGATATCTCACTAACTTTTTTTCTACTGTGCTAGTATTCCAGCATTCCTTAGTCTTAGCATTCGTGTCTTCTAAAACATTGTTTCTAGCCTTGGCTTGATATGTGTGGCGGTAAACTTTTTCGGTTTGTGATTTTGTAGCTGGTCCAATTTCGTGATCTGGACAAACCTAAAGATGAATGAATTTGTTTTGGAGTTGTAAGTACCTCTGTTGTGTACTAGGCTTACATCTCACAGTTTCTATTTCTAGAAACCCAAGCCTCAGTCTATCAAATACCGTGGAGTAGACCATTCGTAGGATATGTTAGTTCACTACAATCAGGTAATCGACGTGAAGTTTAGCTAACTTTATTATTCCTTCCTACTGAAGAATTGCATGTTTGCTTTTATTGAATTGTATTTTTTTTTTCAGACTCGGCTCTGCCTACCTCTTCGAGATTTGAGTTCGTTCTGACATTTGCATTCTCAAACTCCTCCGCTACTCGTCCTCCCCAGTCCCATCCTCGCCATGTCTAGCCGTCCTCTGGTAATATTTACTCAGCCTTTCTCTTCATCTCTTTGATACGATTTGGATCGTCCGTCCAAGGACGCCAAAAGGAATATGATGTTCAAACTTTAGTATTTATCCAATATCTCAAATCATCATCATCATCAATGAATACAATGAAACGTCACTGGTCTACACGGGCTTAGTTTAGGCCCCATGCTAATTTAAGGCCCAGAAAATATACAAAGCTAGGTTATACCAAAATCCAAAAAAAAAATTCAATTATAAATACCCTTTCCTCTGAACCCAAGATCCCTCCTCTAACTGCACAATATAGCCGCCTCTCGAAAACCTAGCCAATTCGATCTTCTCAACTTGTCTCCAATGGAGAGATCCACGATCAAAGTAATCGTGTTCATATTCTTATCGCTTTATTTTTTCATTCAATCTTTTATTCTGAATTGTTTCTGATTAGATCTTCTTTTTTTTTGTACCATAGGGGATGAGTCTGCTGACGTTAAACGAAAGTGATATTAAGAAAACCAGACCGAGAAAACGGTAAAACAATTGATTGCGTTGTGTCTCTAAAAAATTGTGTTGGTTCTTGTCACGTTGGTAGTAATCGCCGCTGTCTCGTGTGTAATCAATCAAATTATTGCAGCGACATTGGGAGGATTCGCGTAAGAGGATATAGCTCTAACCTTCCCCATGATGATGTAGTAAACGCATTGAGAAAACATTTCTCTTCATGTGGAGAGATCACAGATGTTTATGTCCGCGAAAAGAATAATGTTCTAAACACGTTTGTTACTCTTTCCTCTAGTATTACCAGCTCGACTCAAGTTTATATATGCTAACGTTTTTTTTTTTAAATTGTTTCACAGTTGGAGTTTTATTTATTTTCTGGGAGATGGCGCAGTGGAAAAGGCCTTGCAACTTAGTGGAATTGACGTGGGAGGATGGACCGTCATTGTTGAGCCTGATCCGTTTCCGGAAGATGCAGGCTGGTAACATACATAAATATTTTATTTTTGGTATTCACTTTTTTTTCAAGATGTTTTGATAATATATTTATCCATATTATTGCAGGGACCCTGTTGTAATTGTTAAAGGATATGACATTCTTCTCGACAATGCTGATATCGAGAAAATGTTGTTTGAACATTTCTCTTCATGTGGAGAGGTCACTGAAATCCGTGTTTACGAGAGGAGGTTTGTGCATGATGGCTTAAAATTCTTCCTCCCTTTTTTATTAAACGCAAATGCTTAACTTAGGAGGACTTTGTGTCTTTGTTTTGTATTTTTTTTTAACAGCATAGGCGCAGCAGTTGTAGACGTTTATGGAGAAGGTGCAGAAGAAAATGTGCTGGATCTTGATGGGAGCAACATGGTTGGACGCAAAATTAGTGTTAAGCTTTATACTGAGCCAACTGTTTACAGTGTCCACCCTCGTCCTCGACATAACCGTACTTATTATCCTGGTACATTGTTTTGATTCTTGATTCCTTCTTCCTCATAACTAACAAAGTAGAACCATGGTTGTTTATTTTAGTTAACAAGGCTAACAACTCTTTTTTTTTGATCAAACAAGGCTAACAACTCTAGGATGCCACTTCTCAAGAGTAGAAAATCTCTCTTCTACTGCGAGAAGACAAAGACAAGCTCCATGTTGTTTGTATCTTTGTGAAATAAATGCAACATTTTACTTTATTACTTTTATATGCCTTTTTTTCTATCTGGATTTTAAAATAAACTCTGATGCTTTCATTGTAACTCTTTTAAAGTAGTGTGTTTTATACTTCGAGCTTTAAACTATTGGTAGTTGTTGCTGTATCAATATCACTTTTCGAAGATGTTGCATGTTCTTATTTGCACAATCAAATATGAAACTTCAAAGTTTGTCGATCTCGTAATTGCCACATGTTTAGTGCCAACTTGAATTTATCACTATAACCAGCGACCTGATATGGAGGAATATGTTCAAGTATTTTGCATTTTGCAACTTTCTGTATACAAACTATGTAGAATCATGGAAGATGGTAACAAAACTGTCCATTTCATTCAAAAAAGGGCATTAAGTTTGTCAACTGCCAATGAAAGTCTAAACAGGTAAGAATTATTGCTAGCTTGTGTGTCTGTAAGATTTGTTGATTCTTAGATCTCGTTGGCAATAATAACCATATCTCGTTGGCAATCAAATTATTGCATGCAAACATAACATTGTCAAAGGGTTCTTCCAGTAGCCGACGTCTCCAAGCCATTTTCTCACTGGAATCAAGCCTGAAAACACAGAGACCATCGTCAAGAAGTTAGCTTTGCTCCTCCTCATGTTCCACGTGTGGGAATCAACATCTAGCATGTACTCTACGATCTCTTTCTTCAAAAGAGGCTCTGCTCTTGATAACAGTTCATGGCATGGTATCAAGAGACTGCCTAATTGGTTCAAGGTGAATTGGATGAAGATACAGTATTTTTGGAAGCAGAGGATGGCCATATATATATATATAGATCATGTGAGCCAAAGATAGACAAGTGAATCTCACAACTAGTTGTAACTCTCCCATTTTCTTTAACCCTTTTGCCTGTTGAACAAGAACAGGGTATGAGTGAGTGTGATTCTATCCGCCTCTAGAGTCGATATAATCTGATCCTTACTTTACCTATTCTTGCGTCCATTTTAGCTCTATTGTTTGATTCCTCGCGTCCAGGGCCGTCTTAGAAAAATTATTTGCCTTAGGCGAAATATAAAATAAAGACTTTTTTATTAAAAAAAATTCGATATTTAATTTTTGTATTTCATTAAATTAAAGCAAAAAAAAATTAAAAAATGAGTTTTTGTGTGTAAATTAAGTTTTGTTAATAAAAAATTGAGAATTGTTAAGAGTAATTTTTTGTTTTTATTGTATTTAAATTATGTTTAGTTAATTATTGACCTCTTTATTAGAATTTCACCAACTAATCGATAATTTAACAAGTAAAAATAGACCTATGTTTTTTTTTTTATCAACAAAATAGACCTATGTTAATTAATAAAACAACACTAAATTTTTTTGGACCCATGGCAATTGCCCATGTTGCCATGGGTTAGAGCCGGGACTGCTCGCGTCCACACTTTTCATGTATGTTGATGTAAGATGCCTGCCCTAAAATAGTCGTTGAGGTAGTTGCTGAAGCATACATCATGTTGAGAGGTGAAAACCATGTAGAGTCAAGATGCTGAGCTGGAGTCGTGTAGACTTGGAGAACAAAGGTGTATCTTGGAGAAAAGGCAAGAGGAATAAACTTGAAGAGCAAGTTTATGACTTAAATAAAGAGGAATAAGTGCATTTCAAGAAAAGAAAAGTTGCACTTAATGTTATGAAAGATGTCCATATTGTGTTCCTTGGAGACTAGGGTTTCGGGAACGTGGAGAATAAGTATAAGATAGCAATGCGGTCGTTTGTAGAGAGACACAGACACGAAGGCTGATCTTATAGAGAAAAGAGAAGCTCTTAAAGTGTTATTGAGTCGTGCTGAAGCAGAGGCTGACGTACTTGACAGCAGAGAAACATAAGTGAGTAGCTTAGGAATCTTTCAGTGACGTGTGTTAGGGTGTTAATACTAGACGTATAAAACTTATTAAGCAGATCTTGTAATAGTGTACAAGGAAATTTCTAATAAAGCTATTGGTGTTTTGTCTCTTGATTTATCTTTTGCATTACCTTATTGTGGTGTCATCTTTACACTTACAGTGTATATCTCACTCCACTTGACGCTAAAACTCTCAATAATGGTTCTTGTTCTCAAGCCAAAGACTTGATTCCACTCAGGGATTGTTATTTTCTCAAAATGTTTACTCTTTCCTATTGTTACACATAGATCCATGGTTTCATCTCTCGCTCCCACAAATTTTCATCTCTCGCTCCCACAAATCTGACAGTTATCGAAGATACACTTAGGAGTATTCTTCTTGACTCTTCGCTCTATCTTTTGCCGACATGGTTTTAGCCTTTAGGATACATGGACCAACATATTCTCTTTCTCCATGCATTACTCTAATTTAAGAGTATTTGCAATCCCCACCAACACTATACATCATAATTAACTAACTACCTAAATACAATATTTTCCAAGGTTTTTAGTAATAATCCCTTCAACTAAATATGAATCATAAAAAAAACCTCAACTAAAGATTTAATGAAATAAACCTCAACTTTAGCTACAATATATACAATTCGAATAGATACATATTTAGAAAATATATATATTTAAAACAGACATTTTCTTTCAAACTAATTAACTTTTGAACCGACACATTGTTCAAAATATAAATTTGAAAAACATATCTTTCTAATTAACTAACTTTTGAACGGATATTAAAATTAAAAACACAACCTTTCGACTTAATGGTATTTTTTGTTGATAGCGTTTCATTTGAATATCTTATAACAATTTGTATTTAGGTAATTTCACAGAAGGTTTATTTTTTACCATTTTTTAGATGAGTGAAAATTTTAGTTTCAGAAAACTATACACATAGACTATATATAGATATTTAAAGAACTTGTTGAGAGTTACAACTTTTCAAATTATAATCAGTTATTTTAATGAATAGTCACACTTTTCTATTTATATTTAGTTAATTGAATAGTCTTTTTACAATATATATAATTCAAACAGATACATAAACATAGTTTTTCAAATTAACTAATTTTTGAACACACATTATTTCAAAAAGGTTGAAATATTTAAAATTTTGAATACACTTTTTTAAAAATTAACTAATTTTTAAACATATACAATCTTTAAAAATAATTATAATATTAAATTTTTTGAATAGACATATTATTTAAAATTAACTAACTTTTAAATGGACACAATATTTCAAAAAAAAAAAATTTGAAAATTTTGAAAAGAGACAATCTTTTGAATTAACTAACTTTTGAACGGACACATTGTTTCAAAATAAATTCAAATATTAAAGATTTAGAAAAGACATAATCTTTTAAATTAAATAACTTTTGAACGGTTACATTGTTTAAAAATAAATTTAAAATATTAAAAATAAAAGCACAACCTTTCAGTTTAATGGGGAGTCACATATATATTTTCTGAAAATATGTATTTATCCGAGTTATATATATTATAAGAATACTATTCAATTAACTACATAAAATAGAAATTTGTGACTATTCATTAAAATAACTGATATAATTTGAAAAGTTGTAACTTTTCAATGAGTTCGTTGAATATCGATATATAGTTTAAGTCTACAATTTTCTTAAACTAAAATTTTCACTAATTTTAAAGATGGTAAACAATAAAAGTTCTGTGAAATTATCTAAATAAAATCTGTTAGAAGATATTTAAATGAAATGTTGTCAGCGAAAAATAGTAGGAAAAATCATTCATGTTCGTGTTTGGATTGCTTAAAAATCTAGACGAAACAATGAAATTGTTAGTCTTAATTTTCTTTTACTAGATGAAAATATGTCTTTTTGTACTTATAAATTTTGCATCTGTGATACGTACTTTGTAATGAACACATTACACATGATTCATGTTTTTCAGACATGAATTTCAGTCTACCGTGAACAAATGAAATATATTATATTTGCGACAAAGAGAGCATTTTTTTTTTTAAGTTCTCTCAGTGAATAGACAGTATCAACTACGAGCCTCAATACCAGAGAAAATAGTGTATTCAAATTGAAACCAGATGTCAGGCAAAATCCAAGAATCTGAAAACATGAAATATCTCAAGATCTATGATTCATAGAGAAAAAAAATTGATTCATAGAAACTCACTCACGGGATTTGATGATCTAAGTATATCTTCAAAGACTAACTCTTATCTTTAGAGACAAAAAACTTGATCAAATTTTTTGATAATTATATGCCTCTTACACAAAATAGGTATTAAAAAAATCTATATTAATATTATTAATAAAATTATTGAAATTTTAAATAACTTTTCATCTTAAAACGTGCATAAATTTTGGACAATAATTTTATAATATATATATATATATATATAATATAGTTTTTAATAAGAGTTAAGGTCTAAAATATTATATGTTTGGTGTGGAGTTTTTTTTTATCTAAGTTGGTTGCATTTATTCGTAATTTCAGAATAACTTACCTAAAATTATAATAAAATATATATATGTCATAGTTGGTATTGATATATTTGTATTCTAATTAAAATCTGAACTTATAAATAAACATGAATTGTTAGTAGTATCTGTAAATGAATATATATTGTGACAAATAGACATCTTTCAAAATAAAAATAATGCAAATTTATATAAAATATTAAGTTATAAAATTTAATATATTTATTTTTATAAAATGAGTTTCCGTGCGATATCGCATGGGTTCCTTACCTAGTACATTCAATTATATTGTCTTTCTACTTTTTTTTTATGAAAAGTAATGATTTATATTCTCGGTGAGATAAAATACTTTACTACCCCCAAACCAATTTAAAATATTTTGGTTCCCATTTTAATACAAATAATATTATTAGCATTCCTCTGTTCTTTTCAACAGTTCCTAAAATTATGTTTCCATACTGAGCAATTGTCATGCATGTTTTTTTTAGGACAATTAGGTATATAATTATGGAAAGAGTTGAACAATTCATCTTAGCCGGAGAGAATATTTTCTTCCGGTGAAAATCATGTCGGTATTACAGTTAAACCATATCATAACCCCAGTTGGATACGGTGGAAACTTATGAGTATATATTGTTGATCGAGAAAAGAAGTTTACACCATAGATTATTGAGGTTGATAATGATGACGAAGAAATGGTGAATCTTAGTCAATTTACTGAGCCTAACTATGCAACCATGGGTATTACCACAAGTAGCTTTACAGTTATTGCTAACCTTTTACAATAAATTTAGCCTCTGTTGAGTTCAAATCCAAATTCATCGTTGACACCAGAGAACACACCTCGCTGCATTGAGAGACTCAGACATGTGATCTCAGAACAAGAAATGAGTATGTCTTTAATGGGAGATCTTGTTGGCTCAAAAGTAGTAACATGGGAAGAGCTAGATTCAATCACTCTTCGTGCTGCAATGGAAATAAGTGTCTCCAACTCAATTTAAATTCCCTGACTGCTATTTGCGTGTATAAAATTTATATTAACTTGTTAAGAATATATTTTGCACAATAAACATATAGTTGAATGTCATCTAAATATTTATTTGAGATAATCAAAGTCTTAGCCATATATTATCTTATGTATATCTTCTGAATTAGCTCCAAGCGTCTTTGTTAGATTGATAACATATTTATTAGTCTAAAGATTCATTTTTAGACGGTTAACGAACATATTGCCAAGACTTTTGTCCGACTAATAATTATTGTAGCTGGGGTAACAAAATTGTTGTTCGATAAATATTATATTTACACAATCTACTTAACCATTTCTAAATAACAAAAACATTTTTTTTCCTTTGCTCTTGTCGTTAATTCCCAAGCTTTTTGCATTCCAAAGTTTTGATTGATGTCTTGCAAATCATCTTTTAATCAGTCTGTACTCTGGAAATAATTAGACTTTACTCTGGAAGTAATGAACCAACCAGAAAACTTCAAACGATTGGAAGTTAGAGATAATTCATAACAAAAAATGATAGAAAGGGACTTGAAAGTGAGTGAGGTACCATAAGGAATGAGGAGAGATGGTGAAACTTTGGTGTGAATACATAAACTGGGAGATGTTGAAATCTCAGCCGCCATGAATTGTCAAAATAGCTAGTCCTCGGGAATTATGATGGTTGATCATATTTATTCAGTTTTGTTTGAATTCATTAGAATAAAAATCAGAAGAAGATGGATATGGGAAAAGAATGCGATGATAATGAAGAGGAAAAAATAAGAATTTTTGTTTGTGGCTTTTCTTGTCTGAACAATCTACTATTTTGTAAATGTATTGTTTAAAGCATCAAATGTAATCGTGTCCTTCATTTACTGTAGCTCTCATAAGTGCAAATATCCAACTCTTGTATGGGGGTTTAGCTAATTGACTCTTAATTTAACGCCTATCTTGAGGAAAAGAACCAGGCAAAATTTCTTGGAGGTAAAGAAATTAATATCTCCAATGAACTGGTCAAGAAACCTTAATTTATCTGAACAATAATATAAATGATAAGACCTTTACGTTGCAGGAAAAACTAAGAACGTATTTAATAACCTTGTAATACAGTGAACGATTAATCCCAAAACGAAAAACACAATATTTAAAAATAACAGCAAAACACAGATAGCAATTTTGTACACATTAAAAGAACTTCAAGAAAAGTCTAGAGGAAAAAATGAGAAAGAAACTACAATCGAAAAATCTCACTCCTTTTCCTTGTGTCTGCAGCAACAACAAAAATATCAAACATAAAATACGAGCATCAGAAGATATCACAAAAAACAAAAATATAAAATAACATATAGAGAGCATATAAGCAAACCTGTGAATGTTAATGTAGTCTCTCCAATGGTATCTTCTCAACCAGTTTCACTCTTTGTTTCTTCAGTAATCCTTTTAAAAAATGAAATTCCAGTAAACAATATGAACTTTGAAAATAAAATAAAGCATAATAAACAAATACTTACCGTGAAAACAACATAGTCGACTACTGTATTCATGTGTGCAAACTTGACATACCCTTGATCAACAGCATTGACATTCCCACTACTGTCTTGCATTTCTAAGAAACTTTTCCCGTACCTATCGACGCCATGACCTATAAAAAGACAATATTGTTTACACATTCACAGCAAATGTATTAAAAATAGAAAAGGCATTGACCTAATAAACAGACAATATTGTTTACACATTCACAGCAAATGTTTAAAAAATAGAAAATATTACCTGTACAGAGCATTGTGTGACAATCAAGGGCCTCACTATCATTTTCATAGGTTCGAACTTCATCACCGGTTGGACCGTAAATTCTCTTCAAAATTTAAAAGTTTACAATAAACATATATATTAGAAACAAAGAAAGAACAGAAATAAACAGAACTCAAAAACACTTACATCTTCCTTTAGACAGTTGTTGTATGAAGGATACAACAGAATAGAGCATGAAATAGGTGCAAGTAACAGGCGTTGAATAATATCAAAGGCTACCATATCATTAGGAACTTCATCCCCCGCATAATAAACTCTCGCTTTATCAATCTTTTTCACAGGGCCACCCTGACACCAGAAAATCAAAAGGTCATATGCTGTAAACAACAAGTGATGGCGAAGTGATAGCAGGAATAAAAACTTACAGTTCTTCTGTACTCTCCATCAATTGAATTCTGGAATGGGCAATCACCTTCAGACACGAGACCATCACGCTGAATAATCTTTGAAACAGGTCCAAGCTTTGGAACAGAAGCATCAGCAATGTCAACCAATCCCTTTTTAACTGCCTTATTAACCAAGTCTTGGATGGAGAGATAGGAATCGTATGGCAGAAGGTTCTTCAATTTCAAGTATGCTTCAACCTGTCGTGTAAGCGCTATAGCATAGCAAATGTTCAACAGCTGAACAATCAGGCATATCTGAAGAATTCTGGGATTGATGATCCTCCAAGAGTAGTAAACCATAAGTTTAATTCTCTGTAGAAGGAAGTCCCTAAGATCAGGATCAACGTCAGCACTGAGAAATCTTTGATCTTCATGCAAATTCAACAGTTCTTCATAGGAAGGCCAACCAACTAACTTGTAAAGACGCTGCATAGCAATATCAATGTCCATTAAAACGATTTTGCAATAAAATTTTCCAAAGATATTATCAGGAACAAAAGAAAAAAAAATACCTTGAGATTCAACTTCCTATCGTCCGCAACACTGAAGAGAACCCTCTGCACATGTTTAGCCTTCGAGTACTCCATTTCACATACCATTTTATCTTCGAAACTAAGAGGATTAGGGCGCAGAAGAATGGCCCTCTTGTTGTCATCTAATACACGAAATGGCATTGTTCTGCCAACTACAAGACCTCTCTCGCCAGAGTTGAAGACCTTCGCCTCTTTCTCATTAAACTCAAGCAACGAAATCACAGCATCATTACCAGAAGTACTCATAACCTTCCCCATCACAAGCCTATCCACCTCTGGATAGCGAGGCCTATACATTCTGCATCTCAGTTCTGGAGAGGCCATTTTCACAAAGTCCTGAACATACAGCAATAAAAATCATTATAAGTAAATTGACTCAGTCACTTTGTCGATCTACAAGGCCAACAAACAAAAAAAACCAATCACACAGTAAAAATCAAGAACAAAAACTCTGATTAAAATCACATTGTCGATCTACAAAGACAAATTAAAATATCAACGCCGATCGAGCATAAAAATGGAGACGATCTAACCTAAGAGTAAAATAAAAAATCTATGATTCAATAAGTGTATGGATCTACTAGGCAATCTCAACGCCGATCGAGCATTCAGACGGAGACGATCTAACAGATCGAACAGTAAAATAAAGAACAAACTATATGATTCAATATGTTTATGGATCTACAAAGCAATCTAAACGAAGATCAAACAACCAGATGGAGAAGATCTAACAATCGATCGAACAGTAAAATCAAGAACAAAATCTACGATTCAACAAGTTTACGGATCTACAAAGCAATCTCAACGCCAATAAAGCAGATGGAACAAATAAAACAGTTGAAGATCCAAGGAATAGCAAGAAGAAATGATGAATATACCTGCTGGATCAAAGGATCGTAAAGTCGAGAGCTCGAGAATGCTGTAGATCTAGGGTTTCTGAATATCGTTTTGAAAAGATTTAGTTTGACGTCATAAGGCGGTTAGTTGCTATTCCGAATAGGGGCGTTTCATTTGGGCCTTATTCACTAATTGAGCTTTTACCAGGCCCAATGTCGATGCCAAACAGATCGAGAAGGTATCATTTCTATGCAAATGTAATGGGAAACTTCCTGCAGATTGTTTTTTTTTTTAAATCAGGTCTAAGGGATAAGTTACTAGATGAAAATCAGTATCAAATCAGATCAAGATTTATAAGAGTAAAATAGCTCTTACCATTTTTCATCCTAGAGGAATGGTGTGACCATGACTTATAAGTATTGGTCACCAACAGTGGATATTGAACGAGGTGCTCCATTATACAGAGATAATCCATTTGAAAACTGAAACTGAATGAGAGTATTGAAACCTATGAAAAAAACCGAGGAATTTTTTTTACAAAAGTGGAGAGAACATGAAAGATACTAGGATAGAAATGAGGAGGAGGAGGAGGAGACTTGTTTATATGGAAGAGGGTGAAGTTAATGTTGTCCCGGATTTCACGTTTCTGTTTCCGAGATATGGCCTTACATTTTTTATAGGGGATAGATATATATATATATATTGATATTAATTACTAAAGATTAGGTCAACAATAGCTTTCCTAAATAAATAGGAAGTGGTGGTCATATTTACGGCCTTACCAGAATATTCTATTTTATTGGAGATTAGTTCGGCACCTTTAGAATTAAATCTCCGGATTAAACACACGAATCTCTTCAAAAGTAATCGTCTTTAAATCTATTACTCGAAACCAGGTATTTTTACCTTCTCGACGTGCGTATGCTATGCTGTCCATTGGGTACTTGGAGCGGCGTATTGTTACCCGTTTGTGTCCAGTAACAAAAGTTGATCTTCGCATTTAATAATATTCAGAAGAAAAACAAATATTTGCTTTCACCGTTTGTGGCTCCAGTGCATGGTATTCTCTTATGTAAGATTTTATTTTCATTTTTTCATTTTGGTAACGTTATTTATAGGTTTATAACGTCTCGTTAGAACTCTTCATCACTAGAGAAGTCATGGTTTTAGTTTTTTGGTTCATAATTCGTTAACCAAACTATCAACTAAGAACTAAAACCATGGTTTTTTAATGATATCTAAAATATTAAAATTAGTCTATGATATAACTGGGTTACAATTTCCTGCTCATGTATATTAATATATATATATATATATATATGTGCTGAATCAAGTCGCGTTCGCAGTCGACGTGGTGTACGCACTTATATATTATTCAAATTCGTTTTTTTGCTAAAATATTTTATTTTTCTCGCGTCTTTTTATTCTCTTTTTTTTTAATATATATTTCTTGCCGACACAATGGTCCACATTTCTTTCCATTTTCTTTACTACGATTCTTTCACATTTCATTACTCTTTCATTAAACTAATGGTGTGACCTTTCGAAGCCTGAATCGGCTCTTTTCCCACCCTCGCTGTTCGAGATCTCAGTTTGTTGGTGACAGCTAAATATTCCACCGATTCGTTGAATATTTAACCATATACTAGAGTTTGACCCGCACGCCCGTGCAGATGTTTATTTTTATAGTTATATATATATATATATATATATATTTCAATATTTTCTATAGTTTTTGGTAGATTATCTTTTTTTTTTACATTTATCTGTATTAAATATTTGCTTAATATAACATTTATATAGGGCTGGGTAAATAATTCAAATTCGAAGAACGGAACCGAATCCAATCCAAATAAGTAGTTCTAAACCAAATTGAAATTGATTAAATATCCCAATGAGATTAAATTTTGATATTTAGAGAACCTGAATAGACCCACATCAAACCCGAATGAATTAATTTATACACCAAAGTTTTTCTTTATATGAGTAATTTTTTTTTTATTTACCTAATTGTCAATTAGAATTGATAATTTTATTTATTTATCTAACTATTGCATTGACATATAGATATAGTTATATAAATATGCATGAAGAACATATTTAAAAACCATTTTTATTTAATATATTTTTTAAAATTGTTACATGTGTTTGTAAAGTTCTATTTATTATAGTAGTAATAACTATTAAGGAATAGATTATAATACTCTAAAGGATATTTTGTTGAACAATTGTCTATTTTCTACGGTGAGATCATATCGAGAATTGCAATATATAGGTAGAAGATAAAATCAATATGCTTGATAAATATGGTAATGTCTTATTAAAATATTTAATGAGATACCTAGAAATAAGGCATATTATATTAAACGGAATATCTATAACTGATTTGATTATTATTAGGCTTTAGGATTTGTTTTAAATCTTAGTGGCAATCTCTTGTAAATATTTAGAAAAAATTAGGGTTAAGTTCTAATTGTACTTCAGTTTTAATAGATTAGATTTAGTTGTCATGTTTTCACTAATATTTTCATTTAAACCATCATGCCATTTAAAATGCCCACCCCCGCTCGAGATATCAATTACTTTTTTTTCTTTGTCGACAGATCTCAATTACTTAGTGACAGCTAATATTCCTCTGATTCGTTGAATAATTAACCACTAATTGAGATCTGTTCCATAGTCAGGATGCAACTTGTAATGAATAAACAACCGGTATATAAAAAATAAAATGATAGGGTCAAACTAATATAAAATATTTTTTCTTCCGTTTTCTTTTTATATTTGACATTGCAGAAATTTTCTTTTGATATTATAATTTCCATTTTATTATTGGTTAAAACATGTGATAAAACAAATAATTAACGATATTTTTGTTTAGGAAATAAAAATAATTAAATATTTTTTAATCTATGTATATTATTCTAAAATGTCAAAAATAAAAGATAGACAGAGTATAAGAAAAACTGAAACTGTACATAGTATGAAAAAGAATATAGTATGCTATGAATAATATAAGGTGACGTAAAAAATAGATATCATTTGAGTTATTATATTACACTATACAATTACTTTTCTCAATCAAAGTTGACAGGTTGAAACTTTTTTCATTATAATTTAGTAAAAGGTAAATATATTATAGATTCAAATTTATTATTACTAAGGTAGACCCGTCATACGGACGGAAAAATTAAAAAAATAGAAATATGTTTAAAATGTTAGCTTATTCTCAACAGAATTTAAATTAATTTTCATGTTTTCATCAAAAAATATCAATTTATTTGACTATTTATTTTAAAAATTGTTAACTTATTTAATTATTAATCATGGATGTAATTATTTTAACTAACATAAATAAATTATATAAGAAGTACGGGTTAAAACTGAATATTAATTTTATTGTTCAAAAATCATAAATGTATTTATTTTAACTAACATAAATAAACTATATAAGAAGCACGGGTCAAAATTGAATATTATTTTTATTGTTCAAAAATCATAAATGTATTTATTTTAACTAACATAAATAAACTATATAATTCGATTAACATATTTATTGGATTTAACTACAAATTTGTAATACAACTTTGGGCATTTTCAATAGAATTGATTTTTCAAATTTACTATAGGCCATGGACTCATCTAATTTTGGTTTCAATCTAATATGTGTTTTAATTCTTTATGCTCGCACAACACTTAATTTTCTGATTCTCGGTTCAATCACAAACTGACTCGGTTATGCAAAACTCAATGAAAAGATCTTACTAAAATGTTAAATATACATCAAATTTCACATATAAAACTATCATATAATAAAAATAGAATCATTTGATACATTTTATTACAACCAAAATAAAACCCGCGTTTCTCAAGCGCGGGTCAAAATCTAGTAATTTAGTAAAAGGTAAATATATTATAGATTCAAATTTATTATTACTAGGGTAGGCCCGTCATACGGACGGATAAATAAATAAAAAATATAAATATGTTTAAAATGTTAGCTTATTCTCAACAGAATTTAAATTAATTTTCATGTTTTCATCAAAAAAAAATTATCAATTTATTTGACTATTTATTTTAAAAATCGTTAACTTATTTAATTATTAATACTTTGATAAAGATTATTACTTTGTTTTCTTTTAACTATAGTTTTAATTTAACTACAAATGATTCAAATTGTTTGCATTTTTATTTTATGTTCTATGTTTTAACTTTTTAAAAAAGGAATAATGAAGATCGTAGTTTTGGTCAGTTGAAACCAAAAAAAAAAACTTTGAACGTTTCCTAATGAAAGTTGTGTGTATGTTTATTAGTTTAATGTCTGTCTAAAACTTAATATATCTTCCGTGTTGCATTTAAATCTAAAATCTTCTTTAAGACGTCCGTATGGAGCAAGACACAAAACTCATCACCATTGAGCGCGAAGCGCTATTTTAAAGCTCAGGTCATGGGTTTGTATTTTAGTTGATCTGATATGAATTTTGTTTATTTACTGATTTTGATTTAGTCAGTTTAACTCAATCAAATTTTTTCTAACTGCTTTGTCTTTGCCAAAGACTCTCATCACTTGTAGCGACACTGGGTATAAGAGAATCTAAACTTCTTCTGCAAGTATCCTCCCCTACCAGCTTTAAAAGAAACCTAATGCAGTCCAATGTGTAGGTTGTTTCTTTTTTGTTTTAACATATTAGGACACGGCTGATGTTTTCATAATTACATATTTATAGTTTTTCTTGTTCAGACGTAATAATTAGTTATTAGGATAAAACATGCGCCTTGCGCATGATGAATATATGTAATTAAATATAAAATTTTAGTATTGACAAATTTAAAATTTACATACGATTGTTTTTATATGTATTTGAAATTTTAGAATTTTGGAATTTTTATATAATTATCTATACGTAGGATCAGAAACAATTGTAATTAGAATTGTATATCAAATCTTAGAATTTAATAGACCCGATTTCATATATTTTTTCACTGTTCGAGTGATGGAAAATAAACGGAGTGTCATTGGGCTTGATTGGTAGAGAATTAGCAAATTTCCTAATGTTTTGTAAGAAGCAGTTGGTAAAATACTTACTTTTAAAATATATAAAGTTTCAAAACTAATTTAATATAATTTATTTATTTATCTAATAATATTACAAAACTATATTTTTACAAATTATTTTTTTAAACATTATTTTATAAAAAAATTAACTTCAATTTTAATTTTTTTTAAGAAACAATTTTTAAGTTTTTCAAATACAAATAAATAATTTAAAATTAATTATGGTCATGATTTAACATAACCATAATGATTTAAAAATTAAAAAAAAAATAAAAATTAAGAAATTAAAAATTAATTTTTATATCATGATTTAACAATTTAAAAATTAATTATGGTTATGAGAAGTTTACGTTCACGTGTCAATCCTATTTATCTTCAATTTTTTCTCTTGTTGTGTTTTTTTAATATTTTGGTTATTACTTGATATAAATATTTATTTTGAGATTTATTCTCATTTTGTTTGTTTTTTTGACCTGGATTTAGAAAATATTTAAGATTTAAAATAACTACAGAGTTACATACTTAGGTTAAGATCTGCACTTTATGCACAATAAGTATTTTATATTTATTATTTATTTTCTATTTTCTGCATATTATAAAAT